ATATGGTAAAAAGGCACATTCTGTCATACGGCAAAAGGACGCATTCTGCCATATGGTAAAAAGGCACATTCTGCCATATGGTAAAAGGGTACATTCTGTCATATGGTAAAAAGGCACATTCTGTCATATGGTAAAAGGGGCGAATTCTGCGATATGGTAAAAAGTATATTCTGCCTTATTGTAAAAGGGTGCATTCTGCCATATAGTAAAAAGGCATATTCTGCCATATGGTAAAAAGGCACATTGTATATATTGAGATCCACTGATATATAGTGAATCAATAATTAGCAGGAAGGTCAACTATTGGAAAATTATAGTAATAATATTGTGTTGCGCCAGTAATTCTTGTGAAAAGTGTATGTCTGCCTGCTTCGAAAATCAACATTCCAAATAATTATAGCTTTTACATGGTCTCCATATATTTGCTTTCTGTCCGTTGAGTTTTCACTGAAAAAAAATATTTCGTTAATTAGTTGTGGCATGAATACCCATGAGAATATCATGTGCCAGTACCGCTTTTCCCACATCCTCTCATCACATCCACCTATCTCTCTCTTTCTCTCTCTCTGTATCTCTCATTCTTGCTCTGTGTGTGCGTGTGTGCAAGTGAGTATGTATGCATGTGCCTCCAATTACCTAGACACATATGGCCTCGATCAGACAGACAAATATACTCATACAAAGTAAACATATTTACGTAGGTGCCAGGTTTTGATGCTGGAAGTCGTTGTTTCAATACAGGGGGTTCGATCCTAAGTTAAAACAACCAGTTTGAATATTTATACATCTAATTTGAAGGGTTTGCCTCCAGAATTATGAGTCTCGGATTTTTACAGAATTTACCCCACCTGCCGTCCTACCGCTAAGCTTAATAAAAAAATAAATTTAGTGTGAATCATCTTAGTAATATATAAAGAAATAAAATAGAAGAAGTTTGGGGTGGAACTGGTCAGGCTTCAGTTGATATCTGTAGAGGAGTCTGAATGATTTTGATATTCGTTTGTACATGGCTTTTTATGCACTTCCATAAAAATGAATTAAGTAAGAGAAATATAAATGTTGTCGGATGTCTAATGCATAAAGATACATTTCGTGGTGACATACACACATGTCTTTTCGTACATAAAAATATAGGTCCTTGCTAGATTAGATAGTCGTTATATTTATTTTTTATATGTTTATATTTGATTTGTAACCTGTAGTCGATATTAAATTTGTCAAATTTTCTCAATTACTCAGCGGCCCTTTTAGTAAATGTCCTTCAATTTTACTTTCCTTCGCCCCATCTCTCTCCCCCACCTCTTCTTTCCCTCCCTCTTATTCTGATCTTCAACATTAGATCGTCTATGTTGTGTGTATGTCTCCACGAAATGTATCTTTATGCATTAGACATCCGACAACATTTATATTTCTCTTACTTAAACCCCTTCCACTCACCTCTCCTAAAATTCTCTCTGTTAAGGTTTAATCTCCCCCCTTCTCTAGTCTGCTACCCCTCTCTTTAGCTCTAAAAATTCCTCCCACACGCTCATACTTACACTCTCTCTAAATTCTGTTTTTATTTCCGGAGTTGATTTTTTGTTTTCTTTTTGAATTTGTAGGTCTGATGAATTGATCGTATTTACGATTCCAATGGAATAAATTATGACCATGGAATATTAGTGTTAAAGATATTTTATTATTATATATATATATATATATATATATATATATATATATATATATATATATATATATAAAAGTGAACATAGAAGTCAACACTTAGAGGCGACAGTCTGTTTCATGCTACATGCAATCGTCAGGCCACCTTATTGTTCTATAAGTATCTATTCATCCAAATATATATATATATATATATATATATATATATATACATATATATATACATATATATATAATATATATATATATATATATATATATATATATATATATATATATATATATATATATATATATATATACACTCACAGAGAGTGAGAAAGAGTCCACGTGTGCTTCTAGTAGTATTTAAAATAGATAGGTCGTTAATAAAACAAGGGAAAACGAAAAGGTACTAATGAGATTAGTGTATCCATATATATATATATATATATATATATACAGACACACACACAATATAAAGAATAAAATATAAGGTATACACTAAAAATTCACATTGTAGCCAAAAACGTCTGCGGCTTCTCTTGTTGTTTTAAATGCACACACACACACACACACACACACACACACACACACACACACACACATATATATATATATATATATATATATATATGTATTTATGTATGTATGTATGTATGTATGTACATATAGACAGAAAGGGGCGGGTGGATATTTTTTTCTTTGTAACCGTATTTGTTACTCGTTACATAGCCTACATTTATTTTGCACAATTCTGCCCCTCATTTGAATTTTATTCAGTTCGTTTTTGATAACAAACAAAACCAATCGATAATTCAAAACCTTAACGCGAACTAACACGATATCTGATCAGTTT